ATTCAGCCACTTCCGTCAACTAAACAATTTTTCTGATTTAACAGCTCCATGCAGAATTGAATTATCTATCGATCTCCGCAAACCGCCGATTTTTAGCATTAAATTTTGATTTTTCAGAGATGTTTTTCCGAAGCCCTCGATATTTTGCCTTTGCAAACTTTTCGGAAAACAAAAAGGCATGGACTAGAAAGAGAATTTTATGCGCATTTCGAATATGAACTTTTTTTTGAAATACACCCTTTTCTTTCCTCTGTGGATGCAATTCTTTTTCGCCAACTTTTAGAATTATATAATTTTAAAAGTTGGTCGAAAACGATTTGCCTGCCGCCGACGGAGGAAAGGGTGTATGTCAAAACAAAGTTCATCACGATAAGTTCAAAGTTCAGCACGGTATGCTGGAAAAGTGCGTTTCTATTGTGCACTGCCTCCTATAAAATTGCAAAAAATCTTTCTTTTACTATTTTAATTGTTAACTATTTTCATACATGTTCAAGATGATGTTCTAGTAAAAGGTCAAGGGATTTGTTGTAGTAATGGAATACTTGTATATAATCTTGTTTGATGCACGATGCTACATCAAGCTGTTGATATGCCGATGGTAAACTAATATCATTTTGACTTAACGTTTCTGTCAGTTCTTTGAAATACTTCTCACCCTTCTCATATTTGTCGACACTATATAATTTTATTTCTTCTAATATAACAAGATCTTCATTCTTATTCATATCAGCAAAAAATTTTATAGATTCCTTTAGTGGATCAAAATTACGTTTAATACATTCTTCAAGTGATGTTGCTGTTGAAAATACACCTCCGATCTAAGTAGACAGATCAAAGAACTATGCGACGTCTGTTTTGGGGAATACAAGACCTCTGTGCGTCAAAAGATTTGTAGATAAGTGTTCAACCGACGTTTGAGCGACCAGACATCAGATGCTTTTCAATATGGCTTTTTTCCGATCAGGAAAATGTAGTGATTGTTCACTTCGATAACGATTACAACTGTCAAACGAGAGCGAACGCAAGTGACTCAGTATGCTCAAGTTCGAAAAGATGTATTCCAAGAAGTCGAATTCAATGTTCATTAAAGTCGATGATTGAAGTTGAGTGAATTGTTCGATTGGACAGCGAGAAAAAAACAGTTTAGATTGACCGGGTGTGCCAGTGAGACGACTTGTTCAGGTAGAATGCGACGACAAATAAGATCAAAGGAAGGCTTGAGATTTGATTTGAAGCTCATCGATAGTAAGGATAGGAGAGTAAGACAGCATCAACAACCTTGCTGACATTGGAAAAGATGAGAAGAATTTCATCAGCCAAAAAAGCTGCAGAGACTGTGCAGTAGTTCGACAGACCATAGATCAACGAAGCGGCATTTGCGACGCATGATCGAGCAACCAGTCGACGCCAACAATAATATTTACCGAAGAGAGGCGAGTGAGAGGCTTGGAAAAAATCAAAGAATGTCTCACAAGTCGTTGACAATTTCCAGTTGTCGTAATGTTCTGTCCGCTTCTCTCTAATGGAATGATATTGACACACTCTTTCTTCCATCAACGCCAACAAACATGTGCTGAAAGACAATAGAAACGGAAATTGCTGAAAATGGCGACAACGTTGATAAAGCATATTAACTGTTGGTGTTGGATCAACAGATGCGTCAAGTTATACTCATGTGAACAAATCCGTCTCATAGTTTTAACACATGAATACGTTATTTCGAACTTATATGCTCAAGCAAATCTATTGTCAGATATAGAAAGCACTGGATGAAAAATTGCCACAACAAAGATAATAGGTACTGTATGACTAAAGAAGATAAGAAAATTGTAGATCATATGAATGCTCTATAAATCATGTTGATAGTATTTAACATCTTCTACTTCTTCATTCCACTTTTCAGATAAATAAAATCGTGGCTGGTACAGAAATATATTGTAGAATTCATAACTGAGTTTAAGCTTTACGCTCTTGTCAATTGACACTGTAACTTTGCTAGTGTTTTCATTGCTTCGTTACGTTTTATCAACAAACGTCGGTTCATCTCGTACATAAACCGGAAATATCTTTCTGATTCATTCAATTTCCCAATGATAATGCCTAATTTTTCACTGTTCACGATTGTTTTATAGGCTGACTGATTTAAACAATATGTTGCCTACAACAAAATGAGTTTCTTTTTCTTTTTAGACAGTTGAATGTATTAAAAGTATAAAAATAGTTTTCATACTTTTCTTAGATGACCGGCATCAGGTAATTGATTTCCTGGATGACGCTGTAAATGTGTAATTAATGGACGATTAAGTCTTTCGGACGTTGTCAGATATTTTGCATTGATTGGACCTTTCAATATACCATTGACATACTGTGTTCTATCGTCTGAACGTTGAACTGCACGTCGTGTTTGTTCGGCTTCAGCTCGAGATAGTGTAGCAAGTTGCTAAACGAATTATTTAAGCATAAATTAAGCTCGAAAAACATTTCCCCATTACTTCGTATGATACATATTTTGCCAGTCGTAGTTTAAAAGCATCGATAATCATGTGAGTACGTTCACTAACACCAAATATTCTATTCTTTAGTTCTAGTTGAAGTTCATTAATCATATTTTTAACACTTATTAACATCTTAGTTCCTTTAGTTAAGGCAGTTTGTGAATCTAAGTTAAACGGTTCAAGACTTTTGATATCACACACATTCAACGAATCACAAACATATTGATGTTTTTCTTAAAAAGAAAGTAAAGTATTTGAGTTTTGACTGAGAGAAAATAAGGAGAACTACACAATATATACTCCGTTTATGTTCAATATCATAATCCCATGCTGCTTTTGTCCACGATTGTGGAATTAAATCAACAACAACTTCACGTTCTTTTAGTGTATTCTCTACTCGACTACGTTCTTCATCTACCGCCTGAAAAAGTGTAATAATATTGCTTGACTATATAGAGTTTTACATGTTGTTTGAAATCTTTTTTAGTTTAACACATAAAACAATAAAGATGGCATGATTAACTTCTTACTCGAAGTTGATCATTAACACCTCCAAGCATAATATCAATAATTTTCATGAACGTAATTAATTCAATCTTTTCTTCAGCTAACATTTTATCAATGACATCTTTTCCCTTCTGAAGAATAAAAAACAAACGAGCCATTCATGACTTTACTTTTATTTGATTCATGAAACTTACACGCGTTGAACGTGGTATATCCCGCATTTGTGAACGTAGCTGACAAACATCATTATTATTTTCAATAACAATCCTCATCAGTTGAATAATTTGGTGGATTGTACTTTTATAATGGAATAATTTATTCATGACAATGTTTAATTCACGAATAAGCAACAGTAATTTCCCACATATGGCTCGAACTTGGCGCATATATTTAAGAGCATAATCGTTGCCAGAACGTTCGATGATTTGTCTCAGCACGGGCAGTGGATCACATGTTAGTGATTGTTGTATTTCAGTATATGCTCGATTTTTCAAACTATCCTTCACAACTATTTCATGACACAATTTTCTTCGCTCACCATTTTCTGCTTGTGTTAAACTGCTTTTGCAATACGGGTTACACTCTGATTGTTGATGCATTTAGCTACACAGCATTGACTCATTCTTTTGAGTATAAAAGTGCAGGGTTTATCATAGTTTTCTCTTTTTCATCCATTAGCATTATAGCGGAAGTGTCTATCCTCCTCATTGTCATTATACAAAACATCACGTACTTAATATACTTAGTCGAGGACATTTACGCTGGAAAACAACATGGTATTCTTCTGTGTGTAATGCACTGATCTGAAGAATTTGTACGTATTTGAAATACAACGTTTGATTTTTCAAACAGAAGAAATGATGTTAGATTGGATTCAAAAAGAATTTGGTACTTCGACGTACAAGATCAATTAAACCCTGTATTGTATGTGTAGATGAGAGAGAGACGTTGTAATTATTCTTTATAGTGCTAGGATTCTTTACACGTATCATGACTAGAAGATTTGTAACTTAATCTATTATCTTTATATTAACTTTTTACTACATTCTCTACGTACCATCTCAGGAACGATTACCTTCGTTTACCAAGAATATATAGTGTGACGCTAAATCCTATATGTTTACTGTTGTTGTTGTTAATTAAAAAAAGTGAAATTTTTGTTATCTGAGAGAACGCAACGAAATTAGTATAAAGACTAATAGAGTAGTGTTATCCATAAAAAATTTAAAGTCATCAATTTTTTTTCTGAAAAAGTGTTTAGCTCAAGGTTTTCGAAGATACTCTATAGAAAAGCTTGTTTATTCAGGCAATTATTTCTGACTATGTCTAAACTTTTACAAATTTTAAATCATTTTTCACACCTAAGAAGTTTTTTAATAATAAACAAATTCTTCCCAGGACGGTCAAAACGGTGCCGCTTGCATCGTAATACGGCTGTAAACGATAAAACAACGGGAACATCTCAGCCCTAAACGGTGAAATACTGACCGTTAACGATCCGTATTTCACCGTAAGAGCGTACGCAGTATTACCGCCTGGATTATCTCCCCCCCCACCT